CCCCTTTCCTGAGCTCTGCCTCCTCTGACTTGTGTTGTCCTCCTCGTGCTGTCCTGGCCTGCTCTGGGTGTCAGGGATCTCTCTCTCACAGACTGACTCTTCCCCTTCCCTGAGCTCTGCCTCCTCTGACTTGTGTTGTCCTCCTCGTGCTGTCCTGGCCTGCTCTGGGTGTCAGGGATCTCTCTCTCACAGACTGACTCTTCCCCTTCCCTGAGCTCTGCCTCCTCTGACTTGTGTTGTCCTCCTCGTGCTGTCCTGGCCTGCTCTGGGTGTCAGGGATCTCTCTCTCACAGACTGACTCTTCCCCTTCCCTGAGCTCTGCCTCCTCTGACTTGTGTTGTCCTCCTCGTGCTGTCCTGGCCTGCTCTGGGTGTCAGGGATCTCTCTCTCACAGACTGACTCTTCCCTTTCCCTGAGCTCTGCCTCCTCTGACTTGTTGTGTCGTCCTCCTCGCGCTGTCCCGGCCTGCTCTGGGTGTCAGGGATCTCTCTCTCACAGACTGACTCTTCCCCCTTTCCTGAGCTCTGCCTCCTCTGACTTGTGTCGTCCTCCTGGTGCTGTCCCGGCCTGCTCTGGGTGTCAGGGATCTCTCTCACAGACTGACTCTTCCCTTTCCTGAGCTCTGCCTCCTCTGACTTGTTGTGTCGTCCTCCTCGTGCTGTTCCGCAGCGCGGAAGCCGCATGCTCGCCTGTCTCGTCTCCTCTGGGTTTGCTCGTGTCCTGCACCCCTAGGTGTCTGGCCTGCACAGTTACTGCTGTGGGGCGAAGTCAGGTCTCAGCAGGAGCTCACCCAGCAGGCCACTCTACAGGGAGGACTGTCAGCGCGCTCTTCTCTCTAGTTAGAGGTGGGACCTGGAGGGAACCCAGTTGAGGGGCCTCCTGAGATGTAGAGGGAACTGGGTGGAGGGGTTTGTATGGGGCAGGTCCCTTAGGGATGGAGACACTCGTGACCTGCCTGGAGACGCGCATCTGTCCGTCAGGGAATTTCTGGGATCAGACCCTAGACACGGGCTACAGCTTTCTGAGAGCCTGGGAGGACAGGAGTTGTCGTTTCCATAGCCTGCCTGGGGGAGGGAGTCATGAGCCGTGGATGAGAGTCAGAAAAGTACCATACACAGTATCTCACCCTCCTGGTCTCCAGCACCCCTGACCTTCACGGCGGGACCTGTTCAAGCTACAATACTGCTTCCTCTGTGTCAGCCTGAGCATTCGGGGTATGTCAGTCGCCCTAGTGCATTAGTGCTGACGACGGTGGGAGATGCGGGTGTAGCTGGCGGTGTAGCTTGGTGGTTAGGTGCTTT